TTATAAAATATGTAAGAATATTTGTATAAATAAAAGGATGCACTTCTTAATTTCTAATTTTTTTATTTTTGTCGCTGTATTAGGTATATAATACCACGTACAATAATTTAATAATAAGAACCATATATAAATTTAGGTAAAAATATATCAGTGTTAATTGAATAATATGTTGGTTTAAAAAATATCATCTTATATAGAATTACTGTAATTGTGTTTAATTATTATCAAAATTTTTAAACACGCAACAGAAGTGTTGTATTTCTTCTTTACACTTAGATATTTAACATATTGTAAAAGTTTAATATGTCTTTTTAAATATGTGACGTAAGTGATAAACATTTTCTCTCAACTAAGAAGAAATATAATTTTAGAATTTTCTAATTTTATTTATTATTTATGAATAGATGAATATTCTAATACCTTGATATTAATTAAATTGCATTTTTATGATGTATTTAAATGTTTATTGTCAGTATAACGATCAAATATATGTGGCGCAACATACGTGGTCAGTCGTGCAGTCATAAGTTGGCGCTGGGAATAAGTGTAATAATGTTAAAACATGCAGCAACAAAAAATTGCTCTTTAACTGCTTTTTCGTTATGCTCAATTGCTTTACTTTATTAATTAATATTAAATAATGCCGTTACACGAAAACAGTCATCACTGTTTGTTAAGAAAATACCCATATTTCAATTATCTAATTTTCTTTAAAATCTGTCCTTGTAAAAAACGCTCTTTAATTGCTTCTTTTTTTATTGATAAAGTTTAAATTATTGAGTTTTATTTGTGAAAATTAATGGATGTTGATTAATTAATACGTTTGTAATACTTTAATTGATGTGTATTGTATCGATATTTTAGTATGGTGATGCAATTACAATTACAACGTAGGTCCTTACAATTATTTTCAAACAAAATATTATTATGACAAAGTAAAAAATAAATGTAAAATGTTTATATGGTGCGTTGTGTTGGGAATGCTAACAAGTTCAATAATGAACGCTTGTGCTGAGAAGTTTGTCTTCTGCGGAAAAATATACCTGCAAGCAGGTTTCAAATAAAAATGTAAGACTATATGAAATTCTGATCAGATATTCATACAAATTCTTTATTTTCATAAGAATTAACTGTAACAAAAGTAAATCCGTTAAAATATATATGCAAAAAAATCTGAACATTTTTTTCATTTCTGTTTTACCTTTTTTATGTTGTTTTTTTATTGTAACACATATTGAATATATATTATTATGTACAATAGTTTAATAACATCAGAAACATGTAATTTTAATTAAGAACAATTAATGTTTCTTGAGATATCTACATAATTTGAAAATATTGTATACTTTCTATTTTATTTCCAGTAAATTAGACGAAGTTAGCGTTTTATAATTTATAGACGACATTTGATGTAAAAGCTCCGCAAAACTTTGTTTTAGTTGGTTGGACGCAAAGTATGATGTGTAATCTTGAAATTACAACAATCTAAATAAAGTAAATTACATCTGTATCAAGATGCAAAAAAACATTTTATTCAAAAATAAAATAATACAAAATGTATAATATTGTTGCATTATTATATTATTAATTAAATATTATACTTATATATTTTATGATGAATGTATGGTTCAGATTATTACTATTGCAAATATTTATTGTAAACATCGCGAGATTTGTAATAGGCCCTCTTTTAAAACCGTACCATACGGTGTATCACAACGATGATATTCGCAAATTATCAGCCACGTTATTAGCTGACAATGCGCAGGCTTTACGGTTATAGAAAGAGGAATGGACGAAGGATCAATTGCGATCCTGCTTGCTGTTCCTTTTGGACGTCTGTGAGTGACAGACGTTTTTTGATCTCGCGATTTACTTAAGCATGTACGATTAAACGAGGAACTTGGCCACATCATATTCGATTATTCTTGGAAAAAAGAATCTACCAAAACTTAGTAAGTGACCTTTAATCAATTTTATCGTACGTTAAATTTACTTTTACTATTTAATTAGACTTAAAAATATTAAAATTTAACCGTTTAACATTATTTAAACAGTTCTTGTTTTTCCATTTTTTTAATAACTATTTTGTTATATGCAGTTTTGTGAAAAGTAAAAAAGATGACAAACAAAGAATTTAGTTTAACGTGTTTTATATCACGGAGAAGATTTTATATGAAAAGTTACTATGTACGGCAGTAGTTGCAGACCATGAAAAAATTATAAAAATTTTTACTATGTTGTTCACATATGTAACACAGTAATACAAAATTATTTTTGACATAAAATTTTCTTTTTTATCCAGCAAGAATGGATATATTATGGATAATAAATTTTGCTTTTTTATAAGTAAATCTTATGCATTAATAACTTCTTTTGTCAAAGTGATGTGTTTAATATTCATACACGCATTGTAACTATAACGCAAAGATTTTTCGCACTATGATAATCTTATGCTTTAATCGTGACGGAACCAAATAATGCCGAACGAATTCCATTCCTACAAATAAGACTAATAAACACAACCACAACTTTGCGGCAATTTTTTACATAGAAAACGTATTGAAAGAGTAACCGTTAATATTTTATAATGTTATTCACATTTCCTCTACAAAGCTATATTCTATTTTCTTGATACATATATCTATGCATGTGATAAATAATAAACAGTGCTGGTTTTGTAATTTAAAGTTATTCTAAAGAACAAATTAATTACGTTATCTGTTGAAACAACTTATAAATTCGTGTACATAAATCGAGTTATATTTTATGATTCACTTGTTTAAATCTTTTTTTTAATGATGTTATGATCAAAATTAAATTTATGTAATTTTAGATCAGTACTTGTACTATTTCTTGATAATAAAATATTTAGAGGATCATATATTATAACAATGATTCGGACAACACACGAAACGATGAGTTTTAAATAAACTTGTTATTCATGCTTGTTACCTTCAGCACGCTTAGCATGGTATACCTGCGTCCATCAAAAGATCCAATTTAGGTAAGGCACTAAGAATTAAAAGATCGTTATGGAAGC